GGGGTCCTTTAAAGGGTTCCTTAAAAGGGATACGAGTATAAGGGGTTCTAGAAGAAGGGGCCTTAATTACGTAGAATAGGGTCTGGGGGTCCTTCATAGCATATAATAAGGAACCCCAAAATAATGTAGGTAATTACTGAGACCCCTATATTATTAGGGCGTTTGAGAGGTGTGTGGGGCTTCGCATTCAAGATAAGGTCTGCGCGTCAGGAGGCTTAGGGTTTAGGGTTTAGGGCTTATATAAAAACTTGACACGAAGCCCTTTAAATCCATTCCGGGCTCGGGACTTGGAATTGAATATGACCTGGGAATCGCGTGGACTTCTCATAGCTGTCTGTCAGTACCCCTCAATGCCAACAACCTACCCAAACACGGCGCATCTTTCTCTGCTTCCGTCTCAAGATATCCTCCTTTGCCGAATAAAGAACAAATTCAGGATGGGGAAGTTCTTGTAGCATTTCTGACAGATGCCCTCGCCACAGTCTGGAAGCAGCTCCCCTTGGTCTTGAGTTGTGCACCGGTAGCCGGCGTTGCGCCTCGGGTCGAGGGCTGTTTTTTTCCTCCAGGGTTTTTTTGGGTTTTCTTAATCTACAATAGACGAAAGAAAAACCTTTTTGGGTTTAGGGTTTAGATTTTAGGGTTTTTAAACCCTAAACCTTAAATCCTAAGCAGTTCACAAGTTTCCGTTCTACCCTTACCACTCTTCACGGCAAGGACCACCTCTTGGAATCGCGAGAAGCCGCTTCCGGGCTTCCCTTGCCTAGACCCCGAAACCCCTAAGCTTCCTAAACCATAATTGGGTTCTCCAGTAACCCCTTCATAATATGGGTACCCTTTTTCCTTCTGTTTGGGCTTAATACGGAGACCCCAGACCAAAACCCAAAAAGGGCGAGAGGGGTACTACTGGGGAACCTAGCTGGACCTAGCTTAACTTCCTAAACCCCAGAACTTCAAAGCATGGTATGTGGGACCTGAAACCCGACGATTTGGTGTGCTTTGAACCCCTAGGTTCTAGATTCGACGCAAGATTGAAGAAACACCTTGCAGCTTTCGGTGAGTAGCAGCTCCAACAAAGAAAAGCGAGACGGAGATCTATGGCGGCGATGGTGTGTCTGGAGCTGACTTTCTGCAAGAACAGACCACAACACAATGTTGAGTACAAGAATGACATAAAGATGCAAGAAGCAAGACACACTCAACGTATACCAATGGTACCTGATTCCAACTCTCCACTAAGCTCACATTGCACTAGTAGAGCAGCGACTCTCCACACTCAAAAGTGCTCTGCTTTCGCAAACCGCAACCTCCATGTGGGACAAAAGGTCCAACAAGAGTCAAAAGGGCACCAAGAGCACAGCAAGATGACACCAAAACACACTCCACCAGGACCCCCCGAGGGCCCTTTAATAGAGCCCTTATGGCCCTTAATAGTGGGTATTTAGGGTATATTAGAGGGTAGTTGGGGGGTCTAGGCAGGTACTCCAAGAAGAAAGAGCGCAAGGAAGAGGTCAGGAGCTTCAGTCCGAAAAGTTCTCACTGTGGCAAGGCTATCAGGCTTGAAACCCTAAGACCTTGGAGTCGCGTGTGGAGGTAATATAGGGGACTTAATAACTAGAATAGGGTTTTGGGGTATATTATACTTTCATTACGAAAAGGAACCCCCAAAACCAATATAGGTAATTCTTAAAGCCCCTACGTTAAGCTACAAATAGACAGTAAGGGCTCCGAAACATTGAAATACCTGGGTCCTAGGCTACGGGGTGGAACACGGAAATGTGGATGTACTCTCTGGGGTTCTGGTGAAGTCAAAGAAGCTCCGGTTTAGGGTTTAGGGTTTAGGGTTTAGGGTTTAGGCTTTAGGGTTTAAAGAAGGTCCAGTTGCATGAAACGGACGGTTGATGAGCAATTGGGGGCATTCAGAAACTGTGGAGCAATGCCTCCGCACTCGGTGTGCACCTGAGACTTGGCGGCTTCTAGCCGGATCCGATCGGCTTTTCATCTTTTGCTACTTGGAGGCTCATGGGTAGTTATAAATGAGTTTATAAGTAGGGTAACTGTACTTATAACCCATATTAGGGGACTTATAACTCCACTTATAACTACCCATGAACCTCCAAGTATCTGTTGTTGGACGCATAGATACACGGTGCATATACACGTCTACGCAAACTGAAGTATCAGTACACATACACGCAGTTTTTGCATGCAGCATGAACATGTAGCAGTCAAAACTGATTCTTATAGCTGTCAGCTGTTTGCGCTGCACAAAGGGCTCCCGAAATCTCAATTCCCAGCATAAAGCTCCGCACCTCCAATTGGATATGCCGGATCTTGCGCAGCATGTTTCCGGCCGACTGCACTACGGCGAGATCGGCTCCCTCGGCATCCACCTTCAGGAACCAAACCTCCTGCCCTCCCAGCCAGTCTCCAATGACGTGCTTCAGCGAAATGCACGGGACTGTGCGAATTTCAGTCGAGGTTGCGCAGTCGGCTTTGAAATTCGGGAGTGCCGGATGCTCAGCTTCAATGTCGGGATAAGTATCTGCAACTAACGGAAGAAGCGAGCTGCATGAGTCCTCTTCAGCGACACGAAACTTCGCCATCCCCTTGCAACCAACAGCAAAGGGGAAGGCCAGTCCTCATCTGGGCGCGGGACTGAAGGGACTTGGGGTTTAGGGTTTAGGGTTTAGGGAGAGGGATCTACTGTATACTATAGTTAACAATAGGGAGCTATAGTAAATAACTTGGTTTCCTTACTATGGTAGCTTCAATTAAGTTCCGAAGCCCTGAACCCTTATAGAACCTTTAAAGGAACGTTAAACTGCGGTAACTTCGGTTAAAGTCTTTAACAACGAAACCCCTAAACCATCAACCCTATATGAACCCTGAACTCCTACATCACAAACCCTGAACCACAAACCCTGTATAAAAACCCTTTGACTGAACTCCTAAACCCAAAACCCTAAACCCTAAAAACCTAAAACCCTAAAACCCTAAACCCTAAAACCCTAAACCCGGAACCCTAAACCCGTAAACCCTAAACCCAGAACCCTAAACCCTAAACCCAGTCCTCTTTCGTGTTGGCGTCCGAGAGCTCGGAACTTCCCGCTGCCCGCTGAGTGCGTAGGCCTGTAGCCTGGCTTCTTTGTTGAGGGTTTTAAGGGTTTAGGGTTCCTTTAAGCTAATATGGAGGCCTGAACAATTAGAATAGGGTTTTCGGGGGGCAAATTATGCTATAAGTATAGTAAGGAACCACACAAAATAGTGTTGGTAATTATTTAGGTCCCGGATCTCTAGTACATAATGTGGTCCTTCAAAGCTTCTATGAAGGTTTCGGGTTTAGGAGCTTTGATTTTCTTTACCATAAGAAGGAAATCAGAATTTACTATGAAGGAACGGATAATTAAGCTACCAGGTTCCTGTAAGCGTTCTATGAGGGTTTCGGGTTCAGCAACTTTGATTTGAGTTACCATAATGAGGAAACCACATCATCTGCTATACACCCCTGTTTTGGTAGCGACAAATGGGGGGTTCCCAAAAATAGGGGACCCTAATATAGTACACCGAATAGTAGGATCCCTATTATAAGGACCCAAAATCAGGTACCCCCTATTTTCGGAAACCCCCAAATGGTCCTGAACATGAACCCAGCAGCTCGCCAGCCTCTCCCCATACTTATCCAAAAGTGGCTCGAAGCCCAGGACGAAGTCCCCCTCCCCAAAGTCCTGATAGTGAACGGATAGGTCCCAGTTGTTCATGCCCACTTCAATCCAAAAGCGTTCCGGCGGCTTCTTCAAGTGTGCCCAATTCTTGTGGAAGGGCAGTCTGGCCACCTGCACCGGTGCAAATATTCCATCCTCGGTCTCGTGCAGCGGCTGGGGAAGTGAAGCCCTGGTGTGCAAGAGATGAAAGCTCCAGAGTAGCATGGACGGCATGTTTAGGGTTTAGGGTTTAAGGTTTAGGGTTTAGGGTTTATGCCTGAACGAAAAGCATGGGTCTAAGGTTCAAACCATGGGCCCCTAGTATGGGCCCTTGTCCCTGGGATCCTTATACACCTACTATATACCCTATATGTACCCTTCAGGGTCCCTAGAAAGGCCTCAGGGTCCATATTAGGGTCCCATACTTCTAACCTTGGAATTGGGAGCGTACCCGTATCGTAACGCTTCTCTTGCCATGCAGCTGCCACTAGGTACACATAGGAATATTCGTAGAGTTGCGAGCACCAGCGATACTATGACAGTATCAGATCATACCCTAAACCCTAACCCTAAACCCTAAACCCTAAACCCTACCCTCAATCTTGGGCCATGTGTAGCCTTGAGCCGACGAACTGTAAAACTTCCCGGACCAGGCAGCCCCCTGTGTTTCAGGAAACGGGCTCAGTGACGATGGACGACCCCGGGCCATGGCAGCCTGAAGCCTAAACCCCAAGACCCAAAACCCTAAACCCTACATCCTAAACCCTAAATCTCTAAACCCTAAATCCTAAAACCCTAAACCTGGAAGCTTAAACCCCCAAAATCCTCAACCCAGAGGCACCGAGGCTGATTCAGAGAGGTTTGTCTGAAAAAGGCGCAACTCGCAAGAAACACCGACCACGGAGTGAGGTGCCTCAGGTGATCCGGGTGGCAGAAGAGAGCCAAGACGGTGCAGGTCAAGAAGGCATTCCCGTGCAGCTTAATTTCTGAACAATGCTGAACAAGAGTTTATAACCAGGGTTGAAATGTCATGTTCTTAGCAACCCAAACTGATGCTGTGGGCAAGGTCAACGAACTGTTTCCGCGACTATTTCAAATCCTAGTTCTACTGCACTTGCCTTGCAGCGGTGCTGGTGGTGCTGTGCTGCTGGTGGNNGGGGGGGGGGGGGGGGGGTGATGGTTGTGTTCGTGGCGGTGGTGGTGGTGGCGGTGTGGAGACGGAAGTGTTCCTGGGGGCGTCAGCTTCGGTAATAGTAGGGGTGGTGGGAGTGGTGACCTGAAGCCTGAAATACTAAAGTTACTAAGCTTCAAGCCCGGGAGCTTGAACCCTAAGAGCCCCGAACCACTGAAACCTCAAAGCCTAAACTCTGCGCCCGCTTTTGTCACTCGAGCCGTCACTCGAGCCGGCGGACTTTCTGAGGGTGCTCTTGCGAGGGAGACGCGAAGGCCCAGATGAAGTCATAGAACTGCCGGTGGTAAGGCTCCTCGGCTTCACAACCCTACACCCTACAATATAAAATACAGTTAGTATAATGTACTATGATATAATATAATGAGTGTAAGCTGCTAGAATATAATACAATATGACATGAGCTCAGCCCTGTAAGGTGTAGGAGGTAAGGTTGAGGGTGTAGGGCTTGGAGTGGGGGGCTCTGGCCTCCGTAGTAGCTGAAGCTGCTACTACAGACGGCTGCCACTCCTATTGCTGCCTGTACTCCCAATCGGCCAATGGTGATACGGGGGAGACTCCTGCCGTTTCTAATGCTGATCAGGATGCTGTTGATGCTGTGGCTGCTGCCGCTGATGCTGCTGAGGGGGCTGGTGGAGGTGAGAATGATGATGAGTGCTTGCTGTGACGACGATAGTCTATGTAGGCAGTGACCGACCATCGTGGTGATAGCGAAGGCAGTGATACGACATCATGCTGGTTTGCATGATTTTCCACTCGTACAGCCTCATGCTGCTTGGCTGGTTTCGCTGTCGTAGACAACATGAGCCCCAAATTTGCCGTCCAAATTCCGACGACGAATCCGAACTCTGAATAACCTCATGCAGTATCCTCATGCTAGCTGCTAGACCCCAAACGCAACACCTGAAGAGGCTTCCAGAAGCGTGACGCCTTCTGGGAGCGCCAGCAGCCATAATCACGAAACTCTAACGTCTAACTCCATTCAGCCTCAGCCTCTGAACAAATCTCTGGAATTCCAAAAATTCTGGCTGACTCGCCGAAGCTTCGAAAGACATGCCGTCCACTGACTGCAGCCGGTCGTTGTACTTGCCATCAACGGCAAAAGTGGGCGCAGCCTTTGCCAGTGGAAGAAAGGAAACCGATCCCAGGACCTAAACTAAAACACCCTGAACTCTAAACCCAAGGCCCCTATAAACCCTAAACCTTTAATTTTATAAAGCCCTAAGCCCGAAACCCCACAAAGGCCCTGCGGAACCGGGAGTTGTGAGCTTCAGAAAATGCAGGACGCCCCCACAAAATGCAGACGCCACATAGTGGGATTCCAAAATCTGGCTGCTATAAGGGTTCTAGATAAAGGTGGAGTAAAAGGGTTTAGGGTTTAGAGTTTAGGGTTTAGGATTTAGGGTTTAGAAAGGTTCTTTGTGAGGGTCCTTTATAAGGGTTTTATACAGCTCCAGGCCCTCTCGTAGGCTTCTGGGAAGCTTGAGAGGCTCAGGGCCCCCGAGGGGAGTTTAGGGTATATAGGGTTTAGGGTTTAGGGTTTAGGGTTTAGGGTTTAGGGTTTAGGGTTTAGGGTGCTTCTATAAGGCTTCCATAAGGCTTCCATAAGGTATAAGGCTCCTATACCGGTAACTACCCACCTGAAAATGACCCAGACTAGGGGTTTAGGGTGTCTGTCCGTCGGTGCCCTCTAAGATGGTCGACAGGGGATTTCGGATTTAGAGGTTCAGGACTTAAGGCATTAAGGGCTGTAGTTTAGGGCTTAGGGCTCAGGGTTGACCTGAATTTCTGACCTTTGATTGAAACCTTAATCCTAACCTGTAACCCATGAGCCATAAACGCCCTAAACCCAAACCCCCTCAACCCCAAACCCTAGACGTCTTCCTGGGCGAAGTCCTCTTCGGAAGTGGTCAGCAGGTTCTGCGCCATGGTTTTAAGGAGGTTAACTATTATAGGGTTTAGGGTTTTAGGGTTTAGGGTTTTAGGGTTTAGGGACCCTAAACCCTAAACCCTAAACCCTAAAGGGTTCAGGGTTTTAGGGTTTTAGTCACCCGCGGTCCAGCCATTGAGACGCTCCGCACCTCTGGGTGAAAGTCCCTAATATAGGGGCCTTATAATGATTAGAGTAGGGTTTAGGGTTTAGGGTTTAGGGTTTAGGGTTTAGGGTTTAGGGTTTAGGGTTTAGGGTTTAGGGTTTAGGGTTTAGGGTTTAGGCCTTAATAATCAGAGTAGGGTCTTGGGGCCCAGTATACTATACTTATAATAAGGAGCCCCCCAAAATAGTGTTGGTAATTATGAAGGCACCTATCTTAGCCCTCGGACTAATTTCACTTCAAGGCGAAATGGTTCCGCAGGAGCGTGAGCAAAACCTCTCCTGTGTCAAATAACCGTTATAGTGACCCTTTAAAGGAACCCCATTCTAATCATTAAGGCCCCTATAGTAGTGCCTCAGTTTGTCTTTTGCTGACTGGGCTGCCCTCTCGCTCAAAGATGGCTTGTGTGTATTCCCGAACCTTTGCGCTGTTTCGCACTGCCTTTTTGGCATATTTTGCCACCAGGTCGTTAGAAAAAGAGTCCGACGTTGGCTCAACTCAGAAACAAGCTCCTGCTGCACGTTCCGGGAGCTCGTCGACGTCAACTAACTCAAAAGGCTTAGGGTTTATATAGGGTTTGGGGTTTAGGATGGCTTAGGGTTTAGGCTTCAGATCAGCTCCAGCCCTCCAAGTCGTACGTTCTGAAAACAAAGCTGGCAACATGGTGACTATCGTCCAAAAGGGTGCCCTGGCTCTGCCGTATGAGGGTCGCAACCGACCAAAATCTCTCTATCCGGGGTAATTAACCCTAAACCCTAAACCCTAAACCGTGTTAACCCTAAACCCTAAACCGTGTTAACCCTAAACCCTAAACCGTGTTAACCCTAAACCCTAAACCCTAAACCGTGTTAACCCTAAGCCCTAAACCCTAAACAGTGTTAACCCTAAACCCTAAACCCTAAACCGTGTTAACCCTAAGCCCTAAACCCTAAACCGTGTTAACCCTAAACCCTAAGCCGTAAACCCTGCGGGCGCTGGAGGTCTAGGATGCAGTTTACCGCAGCTGTGCTTCTCAAGCATCAAGCATCAAAACCTCAAACTGCCCTCAACCCTAAACCCTAAACCCTAAACCCCTCAACCCTAAACCCCTTATAGATTCCTTTATAGAGCCCCTATAGATCCCTTTAAAGGAGCCCTAAAACTCTGAATCTTAACCCCAAAAGCCCGATCCTACTCCAGTCAGCACTCGCAACCCTTTCTCTGCCCGCTAGCTTTGCGAACAAGGAAATTGCTGGTGGTAGGTGCATAACCCTAAGTTTCCAGGTACCTACTATATAGGGCCCTAGGGGCTGTAGTACCCTATATATATATATATAGACAGAGAGAGAGAGAGAGAGAGATATATATATATATATAGTAGGTACCTGGGGGGTTTGGGTAATATATAAGGGCGTAGTATCATCAGCAATTCGTAACATGCTGCCTGTTTGTGCGTGCACATTGGTCCTATCATCCAGGTCATCCTTCCTAAAGCTTCTCCTATTTATTTTGTTACAACTCACTACTGCTGGAATTGGAATGTACTCAACTGCTAGTATTAGTCATGTTTTGTTTGTAATCTGACTCCCTGCTTCAGTTCTACTCACTGCTATGCCAGCAACAGTATCCCGAAACCCTAATCCCTAAACCCTAATTGCCAAACCCTAAACCCTAAACCCTAATAACTAAACTCCAAGCCCTAAACCCTAAGCCCTAAACCCTGAACCACAAACCCTAGTTTACTAAACCCTAAACCCTAAATAATTAAACTTAAACCCTAAACCCTAAACCCTAAACCCTAAACCCTAAACCCTAAACCCTAAACCTCAAACCCTAAATTGCTAAACCCAGAGCCCCTAGGCCCGAACCTTCCCCTCAACCCCGAACCCTTAAGAGCCCGACATTGAATCCGTAAAGCCCTAAAACTTTATTTGGGGCCTTATAATGATTAGAGTAGGGTTTAGGGTTTAGGGTTTAGGGTTTAGGGTTTAGGGTTTAGGGTTTAGGATGTAGGGTTTAGGGTTTAGAGTTTGGGGTTCAGGGCCACGAACCCTTAAGCCCTGTAGCCCTACAAGTAACACCTATACACTGAAGCCTGAGTGCTCTCAGCCCTGCACCATGATGCTTCGAAGGAGCTTCTCCTGTGATCACGCGGAGCTTCATAGCATAGCGCGACGGTTTCTGGGGTTTAGGGTCTGCAGTAAGGGGCTTAAGGTTTAGAGTTTATGGTTGAGGGGCTTCGGGCTTATTCTTGGGCTTCAACTGCACACCGTGTCGTGCTTTAAGGGTATATGGATTACGGGGCTTAAGGTTGCGAGTTTAGGGCCTAGGGTGCTGCATTGGGGTTTAGGGTGCGGCTGATATGCTCTAGGTTCCAAGCATGAAGTTGCAAAAGAGCAGAGTCACCCCTAACTCAGCCTAACTCTAATGCGTAGCAACCGCGAGCCCTAAACCCTACGAAGCGACCCTAAACCCTAAACCCTAAGCCCTGAAACAACACCCAGATCAAACCTTCTAGACCCAACGCGCCAACAGCCCCACACGCGAAGCCAAAACCCTTGAGTCAGTGCTAGGGGTTAGGGTTTAGGGTTTAGGGTTTGGGCTCTTCTACGACATCGAGATGAATGCTGTTGCTCATGCCTGCCATCTCAACTACTATTGCTCTGCGCACTCTTCCGAAATGCAAAAGCTGAAAGAACAACACATACTGTTAAAATAAAGGGGCCTAAACCATTACCTATACTATTTTGGGGGTTCCTTATTACCCCCAAACCCTATTCTAATCATTAAGGCCCCAAAATTATTCCGAATCAGTGAGATTTGCACAGGCCCGCGGGCCGTGCCTCCAGGTCTGCAGGTGTCCAGCTGCCTCTCCGGCAGGGGTTTTAGGGTTTAGGGTTTCGGATTCAG